TCTCTTCCAAATAGAAAGGCTGTAACAAGTGACAGTATGCCTATAGCCTGTCCTTTGAACCTTTCAATGCTCTCTCTCACATGGAGGAAGAACTACGGTAAGAACATCTTCAAATTCTGTGAATTGCAGTTTGGTTTGTTTGCTGCAAGCTGTAAAAAATCTCACGGCAAATATTTACGATTTAGTCTGAGCCACAGAAGCTGTGACTGGTACATGTTGCTTCCAATGCAGTTTGTTTACAAGATGAAGGCCTTAGTCCCAGCCAGAGCAGGAACACGTACCACCAACATTTGGAAGCCTTGCTTAAGGAAATCCAGACTGACAACCTCTCTTCCTACTGCAAATCACTGCCTGGTCCAATTTCCAGTTTGACTGTTGCTCTCTTTCCCCCAGCACACCTGCAGGTAAAAAGGCATCACAAGCATCACGCCATCCCCAGGCGAGGAGCAAGGGAGGTGATGGTGCCAGCTCTCTGTACAAAGGAGCTGCTATTGGTCCTCCTTGTCTGGAGGGATGGTTGGTTGGTAGGTGCAGCTTTGGCTTTGAGAAGGGCAAGGGAGACAAGCCACAGAACAAACAGGAGCAATAAGAAACATCTTCAGTGCTCTGTCAAGGAATCATGGAGTATTTTGTGTATCTGACAGGGGAAAAAAGATGGACTAAAAAATATTCCCCCCTGCCCCAGGCAGACAGGGGACATTGGTAGGATCAGGAAACATGATGGCATCTTTCACCATTGTAGCACCCAGTGAGTTCCCCCTTGGCTAGTAGTAACAAAGAGTCACATTCCTGAATGCATATAAGAGCGTTAGTCCCCTGATCTCACTAGGGCTTAACACTGCTAAAATGCCTGTATGAGTCTAAGCAAAAATAGAAAAAAACCTGTTACTTGCTGATTAAATGCTGCTTTTGGCCTGTCTCTCTTGCACAGAGAAATGAGCAGGCTCAAGACTGCCTCACTTTTCCCTGTATATCAGACACTGGCCCCTAACAGGACAAGAGGAACAGGACTGAACCGGAGCGACCAGAAACAAGGAACCTGCAAGACCTCCAGGTCCTGCCGTGCCAGCTCACAGAGAACTTGCTGAGCCCTGTAGCCCTGCTGCTATGTGGTTGCTGCCTTCATAGGTTACTTCTCCAAACCCACCTGCAACACAAGTAGAATGGGCTTGAGCTTACTTTGCTTCTATCCACATCTCAAGATACCCAACTATGCATTATGGTCACCCCACATCTAGATGGTGCCCCATGGTACACTGCCGTCCCTCTCTCAGCTGCAATGCCTGAAACCCCCAAGGGCAGAGTTTCCTTAATTAATCATCAGGCAGATTTTTTTTTTCCTCTGTCTCTCTTTTTCCATTTCTGAGTTGCGATGTTTCCTGCCAACTCTCTGCTTGGCATGAATTTCTACAACAGAGCAATATAACTTCTGAAAATAGACACTTACACTGGAAAGCTTGACACACCCTATATGGAGCCTATGAGTGGCAGAACCATAATCAAAAGCCAGTCAAGACACTAGGCCATGCTAGCAGCACTTAATTAAGGCTCTTAGCAAAGCAGCCCCAACAGAAGAAAGTAAATGGGAACTCTAAAAACGCTGTTGCACAGAACCCCCCAGGCTCTTTTCATCACTGAGAGGCATTTGAGTTTGTACTCTTTACAGTAAACCTAGCTCAGGCGAGTTATTCCAATATAGCTGGCATGTTCAGAACGCCTTTAAAAATAAAAAAACATGGAAATGGCCAACCTGCCGTGATTTCCTGATATGAAACTGCATGCAAAGCCTATGGGAAAAAAAGCCAGTAGTCATATGATACAAGTCTGAGCTCTGCCTGTCATTAACAAGGGTGGGTTTTTCAGGGTAAAACTCTCCTGCCCAAATAACAGGAGACTGATAAATAAAGCTTGTCACTGCCCTTTCTGACTCACTCTCTCCTGCTCAATGGTGACTCACTCTCATGTGTGAAAGGCTGCCAGGTCCTGCTTACATGCTTAAACAAGCATGGGTTGTCTGTGTTAGACATGCATTACTTCAGAAGAAGCAGACACTTAACGCTGAGAAGGCAGCCCTGGAAAAGACTCTGCTGACTAAAGGATCTGAACTTCAAGGTATTTCTCAATCCTTTCTGGAAAGTTCAACGTTGTTGTTAGATTACCACAGAAAACTTAGTCCCAAAGCCATGGCTGAGGGCTTGGCTGATGATCACAGTGTTTTAAAACCAGGACTCATGAGGACCATGAGATTTTACCCTGGTAATTCCTGTAGAGTGAGCCACACAGCGTGTTCTAGGTACAGACAGAAGTAACTGAGACCATGCCTGGTCCGGAGCTGCCTTTTGTCCAAGCATAAACGGTGTACCAACAGCAGTCACTCGTTGATCAGTATTTTATGGTAAGAAAATAGCCCCATGGGGCTTCTCCACTTAAAGAGACTGTGAGGAACCTGCCTTGAATCTGAAGAGAGGCAAACATAGCATGTTGAACATCATCTGTCAGGCTGAGTAGCTCATCAACTGCTTTTGAGCAACACCAGTAGGTGCTCAGCGCTTCCTTCTCTCTACAGTGACACAGACCTTCCAGGTAAGTGACAGTGCACAAAAAGCTCGTTCGCATCCAGGAGCTCTGCTGCCTACGTGAGTGCATGCTCCACCCTTCAGTCTTCTCCCATCATCCTGGGCCCACCACAGGCCAAGTGTGTAACTCTGTGAAATCTCTGCCCCGGGCACTGCAGCGACTGCTCATAAATCCCAGTTATTAGCAAATACCACAGACTACACTGCCCTGCAGGACTGATGTGGCAAAGGACACTTGTCCCTCATACTCTTTCTAAGGCCCCATACAATGCCTGTTTGCTTGGACATGACAAAGCAACGCGCTTTTGCAAGGACTAGTGTACCAGGATGTCAATCCGCAGATCAGAGTGTCACAGCTAGAGAGACAAAGCTGTACCCATCCTTTAGGATACAAAGGACTCCTAATACAGGAACTGAAAGGTTTCTCCCAAGACCAAGAAAAGGAAGCTGTGCTGTAGCCTCCCTCAGCTGCAGGTATTAGCTAACATCTTGCTGCATCATTTAGTAGGGAAACCATGCTGCTGCAGGGCAATGATACCACAACAGTCTCTTGCGTGTTCGGCCAGGTATGCACCATCCAGGAGTCACCCATGCAACCAGTAAAGACAGTTGCACATGCTTTGGCCCAGACAAGCTCTCAGGAAACCTGTAACTAAAGCACCGTCTCAAGGTCTCATCACCATTTTTCAGACCATACGGGCACTGACCTGTGTCATGGTTTAACCCCAGCTGGCAACTCAGCCCCATGCAGCTGCTCGGTCACACACACACACACACACACACGGTGGGATGGGGGAGAGAATTGGAAGAATAAAAGTGAGAAAACTTGTGGGTTGAGATAAAGACAGTTTAATAGATAAAGCAAAAGCCACGCACAAAAGCAAAGCAAAACAAGGAATTCGTTCACTGCTTCCCATGGGCGGGCAGGTGTTCAGCCATCTCCAGGAAAGCAGGGCTCCACCACGCGTAATGGTTACTTGGGAAAACAAACACCATCACTCCAAATGTCTCCCCCTTCCTTCTTCTTCCCCCAGCTTTATATACTGAGCGTGACGTCACATGGTATGGAATATCTCTTTGGTCAGTTGGGGTCAGCTGTCCCGGCTGTGTCCCATCCCAACTTCTTGTGCACCCCCAGCCTGCTCGCTGGTGGGGTGGTGTGAGGAGCAGAAAAGGCCTTGACTCTGTATAAGCACTGCTCAGCAGTAGCTAAAACATCCCTGAATTATCAACACTGTGTCCAGCACAAATCCAAAACACACCCCCGTATTAGCTACTATGAAGAAAATTAACTCTATCCCAGGCAAAACCAGCACACCAGCCTGCCCAAAATGAATGTATAACCTAGAAGTGTTAATTTTGAATAAAGAGTGTACCATTCCACATCACATATATGAGGCCTCACATGCAGTTCTAAGTATATGTTTTATATTTCTTTTCCTTTGGGAAGAGAATTCTCTTTTGGGACAGAATATGTTTTCCATCCCACAAAACTTCTAAGAGGTTATTTTTAAATATTTTTGCTCTATACCAGGACAGACATCTAATGAAAAGCTTGAGAGAGAAACTGCAGGCCACAACAGCCTCATCCAATGCTAAAAGGACTCACCTGACACATGGAAAACAAGCCTAGGCCACAGTGCTACTTAGGCACTAATATAACATGTGCCGGTCTAAGTGAAGCGACTAAATAACAGCTGTGAATCTGCAGTTCAAGTGTGTGTCTCAATAAGGCAATGCAGGGCCATCCCACATAAGTGATCTCATCCCTGGACTATTGGTTACAGAAGAAGTAAATTTCTCATCATAATTGTGCTGCAAAATTTCATCTAAGGTCTGCTTTCCCACCCATGTAAAATCAATGCTATAAATAAATAAATAAGGATAAAGGGAAATTAAGACTTGGTAGGTATTTTAAACAACAGCATTTCTCTTTGCTACACTTATTTCACAATAAGTCATAAATTAGGCTATATATATTAGGTTAGCTATATCTGAGAACAAAATTAGAGATGATGGAAATAAAAAAAAAAGAGTAAACACAATATATTGAAGATTCCAGCGTAACTCCCTTTAAAAGCAAAATTTCAGCAACTCTTAGACTGTAGTAAGTCATGTCTCCTGGTTTCTTTTCTAACCCTTTAGAAAAAAAGAGTTGACATTAAAATCAATAATCAAATTCATCTGCAGGTGTCAAAGTTCTTCCCAAAATAAGTCAGTAAAATAATCTTCTCAAAAATGGTGCAATGAGGGCATTAAGATCAAGGAAAAATAGTTGGTGACAGAACCAGGGATTATAGCCCAGGTGTCCAGTCACCCAGCCAAGGCCCTTGTGTGCTAAACTACCCCACCTCTGACAAAGGAGTTCGGCTTCTTAAGATGCAATTTCAAAGAGATTTACTTAGCAATGTGAAACCATGCTGCTCACCACAGACACCGCTTCTGCTGGTTGCTCTGACTGCAGTCACCTTCTGCCATTGCTCTTGAGAGCGCAGTGCTCTGACTACTAAGCCTGTTTCGGGGGCTTCTTAGGGGCAGCAAACTGAGGTCATTTGTCAGGATGGAGAAACCACTCATTGTTCTTCCTTGTTCTTGTTCTTGTTCTTCCTCTTCTTCCTCCTCCTCCACAGTCCCGTCAGGCATGCTCATCAAAGATTTTAACTCACTACAATGAGCTCCAAGGATGCCCACCCTGTTAGAAAACATTGTGTTAATCTGCTTGACACAATGAAGCAAAGGAAAACAGGAGAAAGGGGGACAGATTTGTAATGTGTCCTAGGTAAACCATCAAGGAACATCGACTCCTTTAGCAGAGAGTATCTGCTCTCCCCCAGGGAAAAACAAATAACCATGCTTGCACCCTCAGCACCTTGCAAACCACATCATGTTTCTGTCTGGAGTGTGCATGCACACAACATGAGTTGCATATCCCCAAGTGAAGCTCAGCACTGCCTGGAAAGGTTGGCCCTATTACGTATGAATTACATGACTCTCTGCATAAGCTATAAAGCCAAGATGCTCAGGATGCGCTCAGCTTCCAAAGCGTGCACAAAACAATTTCATGCGCGTTCATAGCAAATTTCACACTTTCAAGAAATACCAGACTCGCTGGTCGCCTCTTGAAAATACGTCCAAAGATTTTGCATGTACAGTGCTGTAGCATTCAATAGACGGTCAGAACTCTGGAAGATCCAGACAAATTAAGGTAATTCTCAAATTCTAATTTCCAGGCAGAAAAAAAAGACTTATGAGGGAATTTCTTGCAGGGAGCCTTACATACACTTCAATAGAGCAAAACTGATTTACAGTGGCCCTGTTTACATGAGTTATTACATTAAAAAGTACTGTAGTGATACTGCTGTTAACTATGACTGGATGGGAAATGGAATTCCTCTCGTATGGCATACCAGGCTTGAAAGATTTTGGTTTTATCATGAATCAGAATAAAAGGTTCTATTTCTATTACGATCAAAATTATATTTTAAAAGTACAATGGAGTAACAAAATTACTTTTTCAGAATAAAGTACATCAGTAATTTCTGATCAGAACACTATTAAAAACTAAAGTCAAGAAGATATAAGAAATTGGAATGAATCAGGAGAGGGGAAAAAATGAACATCCCGTTCTGATTTTGAGAGGTGTTGATTAATTTCTGTTCAGATTTATGTTAAAGCGTATTTCCTCTCCCCAGAAAACTTTTGAGCTTCAACAAAGTGCTATGATGGACAGTAGCTGCTTTGCCATCAGTTAACCAAGAGTACTACTTCTGCAAGTTTCAGACTCTCTGCAGTCTCTCAGGACATACACTCCTGTTCCCCTCTAACTCCCATGTAGACCGAATCCTCAGTCCAATGGCCTCTCTCCTGGTGAGGAAGAGCTGGCTGTCCAACATCCTTCCTCATAGCACTACCAAACCTATTTATGCAGAGAAATAGCCCCTTACTTGGTAGTGAGCAATTCGGAGAAGTCTGGCAGGCAGTCACACGTGCAAGGTCGAGGGTCTCTGCCCTGACAGTAGTGGTTCTGGGAGAGGTATTGGGCACTGTCCTTCGGTAAGGGCAGCAGCGTGCAGAGCGCTGGTGAGCGCTTCTGATCCATGCTGTTTATGGAAGGATGCTTGGTATGGACTTTTCTTGAAAGAAAACAAACGCAGGTGTTACCTCAGTGTATTCAAACAGGGCAGGATCCCTAAGGACTCACCACTCTGTCAAATGTGTACCTCAGGTACGGCAATTGCACTGTATTTGCAGCAGCAGTCCGGTCTCCTGCTTTCTGGGAGTCAACATTGTTCCTTTCTCTTAAGGTGGGATTGAACATGTTGGAATAAAGAAGCCTGCCGATTTCTTCCCGAATCACTTGGAAGTGCTTCCGTCTGAACACAAGCCAAGCCACATAGCTGCAGAAGTTGTAGAAGCCCTAAATTGAAAACACAGATCTCCTTTTGACTGGGAAAACGCCCAGAGTCCCACTGCATCCCAGGGTGCAGGTTGGCATGACTCCACTAAAATGGCAGCAACCACTTGGCATCAAACTTTACCATGCATGCATCAGTGAAGATTTGAAAGGATTGTTTTTTTAAAGGTATGTAGATGGATGAGGCTAGAAACAGAGTTAGCTCAGATGATTGCTTTCATCATGCTCAACTCTGAATAATTTGGCTTAGTCTTGCTGCTAGGAATTAAGGAGATAACCTGAGATCACCACCCAGTCTCCCTCAATAATCAATGGAAAGAGACTGATGGGATGAGTCATTCTGTGGGGGTTCTTATCACACGTTTCTATCTCAGGAGGCAACAACTCATCCTCTGGCTGAGCTTCTCTGTTCTGCAACGGCTGCCACAGCCGAAGGGCATGGTCTGACTGGGCAGCTATTGTTTGGGCAACTGCAGGTAGACAAGATGATCCCCACCCTGAATGATGGCATTATGATCACAGAAAATATTACTACCAAATATGAACTCATCGCATCTCACCTCTGCGTGTCTGCCTGCTGATTAAAAAAAAAACCAAAATCTAGCTTTTCACACCTATTTAACATTTGTGATCCCTGGCATAAGCTGAATCAACCCTCAGTAAATCAAATCTCTACTGAGTCTGTTCCTGAAAAGATGGCATCGCTGGGACTGCTGTGTGTCCTTGGAATTGGATCTACACTTCCCCTTTTTCAAGGAAAGATTTCCCAATTTATGAAGTATAAAGTACAATTTGGGCCCAGCTGTTTCGTATTAATTTGCTGAAGCCCTGCTACATAGTATGTTGCATAAATGGCTGATGGAGCTGTGTGTTGCAGGCCAGAAGAGCGTATTGGCACCTAGAAATGTCACCAGGGGCAATGGAAATGAAAGAAGGCTGTGAAATTTCTTACCCCCAGAGATGAAACTATGAGGGCAATGATGAGAAGAAATCTATAGACCAGGCTTCCTAGAGGAACCTCAGGCTGTGGTGGGAACTGCCTGGGGTCTGAGAGCCACAGAGAGACTGAAACTCCCCAGCTGAGGGCTCCAAGGGAAAAGGCTTGGGCTGAAGGGCAAAGAGATGGTATTTTACAGGGACATCTAGGCCCTAGAGGTAAAATTTTATTCTAGGTACTCTGCCCTACAAGTAAACTACTGAGGGAACCAAAAAGGAAAAGAGCATTTGGATGTGCAAGGGAGGGACGTGCTCTGGGCTGACAGTCGCACTCCATTTATCTTTGTGTCTTTCTTACCTCAAAGAAGCTCCGATCTTTCTGCAATGATGTTTTTCTCCTAAGGCAGTGAACAAGAGCACAAAATTAATAGCAGCAGTTATCCTTTCAGTTCTCTGAACAGAGCATTGAATCTCACTCAGGGGGGTCATGCCAAGCTGGCATTTCACCAGGGCAATGAAGTTGCTGCTGGTAGATCCTCATTACTAACATGCAGACACCCACTGTCCAAGAGAAAGGCAGGACTTCTGCATTGCCTCAGAAGGAGAAAATGCAAAATATTGTATGGCTCTGTTAATTAAATCTGACAGAGAACAAAGCTGGATGTGATGAGCAGGAGAGGCTCCCCTGCTATGCTATCTAGACTGAGCTCTCTGCATGGGCCTCTCAAAAGTGGTCAGCGCTGATCTAACCCAGTTCCCACTCAAGGCAATAAAAAACTCTTCCTGACATCACTGGGACAGCAATGAGCAGAGTTACCGAGGGCACGAAGCCAGGCCAATGCTGAGACAATAAAGTTGAAAACCAGGAAGGAGATGCCTGATGCATCTCCAAGAAGAAATGTAAAACATGCCCAAGAATGACAAAGGGCCTTTGTTAAAGAAGCAGCAATTTGCCCAGTGGAAGCCCAAGAGATGCTCTCGCTACCCAGTTGAGCCCAGGGTTTCTCACACAAAGCCAAATGACTGTACGTCATTGAAACAGCCATTAAAGCAAAGGGTGATGCACGCATCCCAGCAGCCTCTCAGTTCTCCTGGAGATGGCACAACTCTCCCTCATGGAAATGAAAGCAAATTTTCCCTGCTAGCCTACAGATCCCCAGAGATCTGGCTTGGTCCTGCCAGCTGCACAGGAAAGCCTGTCTCCACGTCAACTCACCAACTCCTGACATGTGCCTTATCTTCCTGATAACATCAAGTGTTCCACACATCTAGGGTATCCCCAGCTGCCATCACCCCAGAAACATCAATGCAGAGCAGACCACGAAGATAATACCTATCAGCTCTATAGCTCTGTTTACCATCTTCTGACTTTCATTTATTGATTTTTTGATCAAGAAGACCATGTATCTCCCTACCTAGCTCCCACCAGCCATAATCCTGCTGACACCTCACATATTGTGCAAGAGAAAAGAAGCTTGACTCTGCAAGCACGGCATGGCCGTTTGCCAAAGCAGAACTACCAGAACAACTCTGATGCTTTTGATTCCTTATGAATTCCGGTAAAGCACCATATTCTGCCTTCAGAATGCCAGAGCAGAGAAACCTGAAGTGGTCCCAGCTTCTTAAACCTAAATGTGAAACCCAGCTTCACCTTTTAACATTACAGAGCTTACACAGACAAACCCATGTAGAGGCCAGCAACAAAAAATAACGCTAATGAAGTCAAATAAGGCAAGGGGTCTCCACCCTTCTTTCTCCCACTGCTTTCTTCCCGCAGGTGAGATATTAAGCTAAGAGACCTGCTTGGAGTAAAGTTTCCTAAAATAAGTGTTGAACTAGGAGACACCTCCCATGTCTAGGGCACAGTTGCTAATTACCTAGGAAAATACAGAAAGGGTCAGGAAAACATCAAACTTGCAACAAGAGTCAGGACAGGACTTGTAAGAAATGTGAATGAGTGAGCAAAGAGCATCATGCCTTCTAGAAATATAGTAACACTGATTTCTCAAAGCTGTTACGGGGACGAGATGAGTTCATGCAGAAAAAAGAGGACAACAGCACAGCCAAGGGCAGGTGGTGTAGTAAGCGTGGCATTTGGATGCAAGATGATAGTGACTTCAGACATCTACCAGAACTACTGTTGTGCACAGGGGCACATGGGGAAGAAATGCTTCCTGTGCCATTTAGCAGCTCCTTCCACCACAGCCGTGACTCTAATTCCTATTGGATCAAGGCAGCTTCAAGGAGCAGTAAGGGCTGGCTCGACGGTGTTTGCGCCATTGATGCATGCAGCTTTGGGAACATGCTGTGTTTTTCCCATTATGACAAATGCCCATAAGGAAACTGGCACCACAAAAAGGTTGCACAACCCCCATCAACTTAAAAGGAGAAAGCCAGACACACCTATTCCTTCCTCAGCGTTGGAGGCACAAAAGGACTAATGCTAACATACACAAATAACAGGTCTGGAGTAACTCTCTCAAATTCCAGTCTGGGATAGTATCAAGATAGGATTTTAATGTTGCATTTTACAAACCATGTAAATTGTTAAGATGAAGATGTTCTCCACCTAAGCCTCCCTTTTTAAACTTTCAGAGAAAACCTTTACATAAAAAATCAATAATTTCATACGAACACATAGACATCTGGCAGATCTGGAAGGGAAAGCAGTTTACCAGCATAGTATAAGATTTCATTAAAATGTTGCTATGGTGAATTAGAGTGAAAAGCAAAAGCTTAAACACCATCGTGAACCCATAGTTGGGTTATAAGAAAATATAGTAAAACTGGGGGTGGTACATTATCAATAGTTTCTCAGCTTTTTAATCTAAACATTTTTCAGGGTAAAGAAAAAAACTCATCAAAAGTAACCCTCATCACAGTTTCCATTTTGATGAGGGACCTTTCCCATCCAAAAACATGTGTGCTCAAAAAATTCCTAACCATCTTTTATAATCAGGAGTGTTAATCAGTTCTGTCCCTTAGCTCTTGTTTTTGGCAGTTCGTATAATGGTCTGGGAGGATCCAGATAACATTTAAGGCTAAACTGAGTCAGCCTGGAAAAGATTATATTTATATAATTGCAGTATGGTATGGGAAGTGCCATATATTATAACACGCTCAGCATTAGCCTAACTCTGAAGTCAGCTGTAGTCAGCTACCGCCGCTCTGCTAGGAGTAACTCAGTGATGTCTCTCTTCATACAGCAACATACATCATGAAGGCTTTAAGACACAGCTCTTTTCTAGCCCTTTGTGTTTTCACAGCCTGGACACTGATGTCCCACCCCACTGCCAGACACTAACCCCCACTGTGATGGAAATACTAAAGGACACAGTTTCTTCTTTCAGCTCTCTGTTCTCGCTCCCATGCTGTTGGTTTTTTGCCACTAGACCTCTTGCTTGCCTCATTTCTGCTTATTCTCATCCACCCGGCGATACGAGTGAGTGAAGAAGCAGCAGAACTAACTAGCTGGGTATATGACACGCTTTTTTATCCAGCTGCATCCAGTTCTTGCATTCAAGTTACTTTGTGCAATAAGTTGCTCCAACCTAGTCTCATAAGTGCAGACATTAGGGCCACCCAACAGAAATAATGAAATGCTGTCATGACCCTCCCTGTCCAACCAGTGAGAAGGTTAAGAGGATGC